GGCTAGAAAACGAATGTTCTGGTTAAAGATTGACCTGACATTGAACCAAAGCCCTGCTCCCGTCCAGCTGGCTTGCTTCCTGGTTGGGCAGTGTGCTACTCCACCTTGTGAACACAGCCAACAGCCTGCAGTGCAATTCAGGCCAGTCAGCCATTGGGAAGTTGCCAGCAGCTCACAAACCTCAAAGCAAAGTGCTCCATGCAGTGCACTACCCATCGTCTGCTTGACCACAACAAACGTTTGGTGTCTGTGCTATCACACACTGTCACACCAAGGACACTGGCTTGATTATTCTGTAAATATTTCATGTTTACATGTACATATTTCATATGTCGGGCATGGCATGTAATATCGAATACAGGGACTCCAACTGAAAACCTGCAGCTCAGGAGACAGGCACTTCAGATATCTGCTCAATGAAAACATTTATCATGGGTTTGTAGACAGCGACGCCAGCAACAGCCATCTGCGTACCCTGTCTTCATGAGCTGCTGAGAATGCACCAATGTTCATTTAGTCATAAGTTTCTCATACAATCATAGAAACATGAAATGACTATTATACAGCATGTAGTCACATTTTAGTCACACAACTGATTATGAACGCTCTTGCTTTGAGTCAACTAAATCTGAATTGCTTTTTAGTCGTGCAGTCTAATTAAGACATAAAATGTATAAAGATTTCAAGCTGAATTTATTTTCAGTCTTAGGTATATTAACGAAACTAAGTTTAGTCCCTTTTTACTTTTAAATTAAAACCGTTTAATTTGACAGAATATATATCCATATAATTGTATGTCAATGTTTTACTTATAAAGTTAAGCAAGTATCAAATGTGTAAAGCCAATGAGGCTCTTATATATAACCTAAGAATACATATGAGCCATGAACTAATTTATGTAAAAAAAAAACCTGACAAAAGTCATAAAAAGTGTAAAAACGGAATTTGAGGGATGTAATTTACTCTTCAATGATCTATACCGAGTTGCAGACATCATTCATACCGTGTTGCAGCAAACAACTCACAGCTGGAAGTCCACTGAAGTTAAGTAGTTCTGAGCCTAGCCAGTACCTGGATGGAAGACTCCTGGGAGAGCTAAGATTGTCACTGGAAGAGATGTTAGTGGGATCACTAGGCAGTGCTCACCCTGCAGCCTGTGTGTCCTAATGGCCCAGTATAGTGAGGGGCACACTATATGACAAAAAAGGTGCTCCTTTGATTGGGACATTAAACTGAGGTCCT